GCCTTAGTGTGGCATGGTTGACGGTACTATCTGTCCCCACGTTAGCTGGCTTTGCTTTCTGCCAGCAGTCCAAGTATTCTCCGATCCGGCCACACTCAGCTCACCTTCCCGTGAACACACCCACCTCCTGCTTTCATAGCTGTGGTTTCCTTTTGTCTACAATTCAGTAGACACTGTAGCTCCTCAAAGACTGGAGCGTTGTGCCTGCTAAGCCCCCCTAAACCGCACGTGGTACAAAACTAAGAGCCCTGTTCATATTTATTAAATAAATTCTTGCTCTTCTCTAGTCCTCTGCCATGCGAGCATCAGTTTATCTCTTGGGGCTAACTCTGGAATTTCCTGTGACTTCTTATGCCCAACCCCCCAACTGCCATCATCACGGTTGCTATCTTCCATGCTTTTCAGAGCACTCGGGCCATTTTGTAAGTGAAGGGAGGGATGGAGGAATGGGATAGGGAAGGGGAGCCAGGCGTGGTGATGTATGCCTGTAATCCCAACACTTGGAAGGTAGAGGCTAAGAGGATCACTTCAAGGTCAGTTTCCGAAACATTGGGAACATTGGGAATTTGAGGCTAGCTAGTCTGGGTTATATGAGATCCAGTTTCAAATAGTAACCACACACACACACACACACACACACACACACACACACACACACACACACACACACACTAGGGCCAGTGGGCTAAAAAGGACTTTTTGAATCTTGCCAAAGTCACATTGAATTACTATCTGGCACAAGTACCCTGGAAGAGGGGGACCAGGCAGCAGCTGGGTGGCTCAGAATTTTGAGGTAAACAGCAAGGACCAGAGTTCGGGAGACACATCACTCAAAGCAAGACTGGAACTGCCAGCCAGAATGCAATTGAGCAAAACCAAGAGATGAATAGTCATAGGGGAAAGACATTCTTTGGTTTTGTTTAAAGATCTTTTCTTGGGGCTGGAGGGATGGCTCAATGGTTAAGAGCACTTATTGGCCGGGCAGTGGTGGCACACGACTTTAATCCCAGCACCTAGGAGGCAGAGACAGGCGAATCTCTGAGTTCGAAATCAGCCTGGTCCAGGACGGCTAGAGCTTACCCAGAGAAACCCTGTCTCGAAAAACCAAAATAAAATAAAAAGAGCACTTATTGTTCTTCCAAATAGGACCTTTAATTCCCGTGGGGTGGTTCATAAATGCCTATAACTCCAGCTCCAGGGGACCTGCTGCCCACTTCTGGCCTCCAAAGGCATCTGTATCCATGTGGCTTCCACACACCCATACACTTAAACAAAAATAAATTTACTTTAAAAACTCCTTTCTTTACAGTCATCATTTCTTATTTAGAAAAGATTAACTTTCAATCAATCAATCAATCGGCGTCTCATATAACACAGGAGGGCCTTGAACTCCCACGTAGCCAAGGGATGTCCTTGCACTCCTATTTCTCTTGCCGCCACCTCCCACAAGCAAGGATTACGGGTCTGTGCCACCAAGCCTGGCTCAGCAGAGACTGTCTTGAGTCAAATCTGCACTCTCTTCGAAGCGGGAGACTGCTTCCCTACTCTTTCCTCCAGAGCACCCATCCTATCTTTTAAGCGATAACTTTTAACCCAATCCAATCTCGGTCGCGCTTCTCCTCCCAGCCAACCCTGTTGCGAGTCTGGTGAGCGTCATGAGTTTCCGGGCAGATCTGGGGAGTCCTCCGAGCGGCCCCAGCGCAGAGCGCCCCCGCCAGGAGCGCCGACCCAACGGTCGGAGCGCGCGGCGGTTTCGAGCGCGGTGATGACGACGCTCTTCAGTCTGTGGTCCCCGAGCATCCAAGAGCGGCCAGTGAGGCAAGAGGGACAAGCGGACAGCTCCCACTCAGTGAGGATTTGGGTCCTATTTGGTTTGCTTGGGTTCTTGTCGGTTTCCAGCTGTGAAATCCAGTAGGGAATAGGCTGGTGGGAGAGTTCGCCAACACACCTCGAAGTATTTGTTTCCCGCCTATTTTTAAACGTTTTAAAATGTCTGTCTTTAAATGCCTTCAGGCCCAGTTGTGTGCACGCCCCTTTCCCAGCTAGAGGAAATCAACCTCCTTACCAGCTTTTTGTCCCGCACCCAAGTGTTTGCGCCCACAAGTATTAGCTTATATTTTCTTTGGTTCAGTCATTGATGATTCCTGACTGACTATAACCATTCCAGTCTCTTGGGATAAAACAAAGGGCCCTTGCCTCCAAGGTGCTTACAGTCCCAGGGAGAGAGACACAATCTAGGAAACTTGGGGAAATGTTCCTGGCATCTCACCACCCGGTCCCACCCCCCAGCCAGTGTCTAGTGGCCAAAGATCGAAGAGCTGGAAACTGCCTGAAATAAACTTCTCAGCTCTAGGGAGTGAGGGACTAGAGATGATTGTAAGGGAGGGAAAGAGGTTGGGGGCTGGGGCGGGGTGGTGATGGTCATGTTTTCTGGGACCAGGTGAGGACTCAGGGTTAGGCTGTGCTGCCCCTTTTTGCTCATTTCATGGTCTGATGATTCTAGTCACCGATGGTGTAGGTGACTTTAAAGGAAGTAAATTAACCCTGTGTTGTAATTTTGGACCAAAGTGTTTTCAAATGGTCCACATGTTTGCATGCAGCACCGATTAAAGTCTGAAGATAGAGGTGGGCCTTTTTATTCTTTCCGGCCACCAGATCAGAGGCTGGCATGAAGAGAGCTTTCAATAGAAGCAGTCTTCAGGATGTTAAAAAACTGACCCAGGCGACCAATCCCAACCCACCTGTCAGAGTTACCGGGGGACTAACTGCGTTGCTAAGACATGTTGTGATCGTCAAAATTAGTGATTTTTAAGTTAACTGAGAACAAATAATGTTAGGGGTTTGTTTAGGTTTTCTCCATGGTAACAGGGCCCAGCCAACATAAATGCATTAGAGGCAATGCAGGCTGCAGGAAAGGAAAGCAGCAGCGTGGACTGCAGGGTGCCGAGGGCTAAACAGAAAACAGGCAGGTTAGGTAGACCTCACCAGAGATGGACAGTGTAAGAAGAGGAGGGCGTGACTCCCAGGCACAGAGAGGAAGCTGAGGGTGGAATGTGTCTCTTACTTAGGAGAAACTTCAGGGAACCCTTGAATATAAATGGGAGGTGAGAATCCCGGAGCCTAGGGCACATGACGTAGCTGAAGCTGCACATAGCACATCTGTGTTCGGTCTGCTCCTCCAGCTAATCTCCTAGGGTCTGGAGTGTGTGCACCCCTGTAATCCCAGCGTTAGGGAGGCAGAGGCAGGAGGACCAGGAATTCGAAGTCATCCACAGCTACTTAGCAAGTTCAAGGTCAGCCTGAGCTACATGAGACTTTGTCTCAAAAAGACAAAACCAAAAGGGTGGGGTGGGGTGGGGAACAGTTCAAGTCCTCTAAGTTAGGATGTAATTTACAGAATAAACAAAGGAATTTAAACAAAATCAGATCATATGGGTGCTGATAGCAGCAACAGTGAAGGATTGGAGCTGTGGGTGTGGCAGGCAAATCAGAGGAGGGCATGAAGTAGCATGGAACAAAGTGTGTCTGGGAACCTGTATGGTGGCACATGCCTTTAATCCAGCATTTGAGAAACCGAGTCAGGAGTACTGAGTTCAAGGCCAACCTGGGATAAATAGTTCCAGGTTAGCCTGGGCTATAAAGCAAGATCTTGTCTAAAAAAAAAGGAAAGAAAGAAAAGACACAGATATAGGAATGTGTGTGTGACCAAAACCAACCCTCACTTTCTCCGTTTTCTTGTGACACTTTGAGGCACAGATACATACAAGAAGAGAAACCAACCCATTTGACTGACGGGAATCTGTTCCTTGGAGACAGGGTCTCTCACTGAACCTGACGCTAGCCTGCTGACCAGCCAGCCCCAACCATCCTGTCTTGACCTTTCTCAGGGGTGGGGTTACAGGCTTGCATAGCCACGTCCAGCTTTTCATTTGCCCAACCAATATTTTCTACATCTTATGTAAAGTTTACAAACTATTTAGACCGTCTACCCCCTCTGACACAAGAGTTTGAACCCGGGGCCTTGTGAGTGGTAGACAAGCATTCTGCCACTGAGTGCACCCTTCCTTAGACCAACCTCACCCTTTTCTTACAGTTTCAGCAACACTATCTTTTTTTTTTTTTTTTTAGTTTTTCGAGACGGTTTCTCTGTGTAGCTTTGTGCCTTTCCTGGAACTCACTTGGTAGCCCAGGCTGGCCTCGAACTCACAGAGATCCACCTGGCTCTGCCACCCAGCTTCTAGTACTTTCTTTTTCTTCTTTTTTTCTTTTCTATTTTTTTCTTTTTGGTTTTTAGAGACAGGGTTTCTCTGTATAACATCCCTGGCCATCCTGGAACTCACTTTGTAGACCAGGCTGGCCTCGAACTCACAGAGATCCTCCTGCCTCTGCCTCCTGAGAGCTGGGATTAAAGGTGTGTGCCACCACTGCCCAGCTAAATGTGTTTTGTTTTGTTTGTTTGTTTGGTTGGTTTGGTTTTTGCAGACACAGTTTGGCCCTGACTGTCCTGGAACTCACTCATTCTGCAGACCAGGCTGGCCTCTCCTTTTCTCTTTTGAGATGAAGTATTGTGTAGCCCAGGCTGCCCTCCTACCCTTCAAGGAGGACAACCTCGAACTCCCGATCCCCCAGCTTCTAGCTCAAGTGCTGGACTGTAGGCAGACACTATAGCAAATGGCTTCCTGGTATACATTTTTACTTATAAAAATATTCTCCAGACTAGAGAGTTGGCTCAGAGGTTAAGAGCATTGCTTGCTCTTGCAGAGGACCCTGGTTTGATCCCCAGAATCTACATGGTGGCTCACAACCATCTATAACTCCAGTCTCAGGGGATCCAATGCCTCCTCTGACCTCCACCAGCACCAGGGACACATGTGGTGCACGGTACACATACAGGAAAAACACTCATACACATAAAGTTCTTACGAAAATGTAATGAAAAAAGTCTCTCTCCAGCACTTCTTTCTTTTCTTTCCCCCTAGCTTTTGGTTTTTCTCCCAAGAATGAAGATGCTTCTGCTTGGTATCTGGATCCTGCTGGCCTTGATGTCTTGTCCTGGTGAGGCTACCTACAAAAGTTTCTTTAGCCACTGTGTGCCAGGACACACAGGGTTGATCATGCAGAAGGGGATGGGGTGGTCAACTTGATGGATCTAGGATCACTCTAGAGACTCTGCACATGCCCATGGGGGAGATTATCTTGGGTAGGTTCATTGGAGTGGGAGGATCCACCCACCATGGGTGGCCCCATCACTGGGAACCTACACTGACTGAAGGAGAGAGTAAGCTGAGCTCCTCCATCCGTGCTCCTGACCGCAGGCGATGAGCTGTGCCTGGGGTCAGCTGCCTGACTTCACTGCTGCCATCTTATTTTTTAAGTTTAAAATTTTATGTAGAGACAAGCTCCTTACCCCAGGCTGACCTCAAACTCCCCATGTAGCCAAGGATGAATTTGAACTTCTGATCCTCTTGCTTCTACTTCCTGAGTGTGTTGGGCTTACAGGCATATGCCACTATGACAGTTTTATACAGTACTGGGGGTCAAACTCAAGGCTTTGTGCATGTTAGGCAAGTAATGGACCAGGTGAGCTGCATTCCCAGTTCCTCCTTTATCTTCTCAAAAATATTTTCCTTGGGGCTGGAGAGATGGCTCAGCAGGTAAGAGCAAGAGTAGAGGACCTGGACTTGGTTCTCAGGACCCACATGGCCATTCACAACCATTCTATACAGTTCCAAGGGATCCAACATCTTCTTCTGACCTCCAGAGGCACCACACATGCACTTGGTACACAGACACACATGCCGGACCCTCTCCGCTGGGTCCTACCTTCTAAAGGTTCCACTGCCTCTCAGTAGTGCCACGGACTGGAAACAAGCTTCTAGCATATGGGCTTCAGGGGACATATAAGATCCAAACCATAACACAGGCTAAACCTGCAAAGATTGAAAAATTTCACTTTCACAACATCACAAAGCAAAGCAGAGTAATCTCTGAGAAGAGGTAGAAAATTCCATGGGAGATAAGTGCGCATGCGGGCTTCCTTGAGCTCTTCAGTTCTCATGGTTTGTGCACAGCAGGGTTCCCGTGAGGCTTGTTCTGTTCTCAGGCACATTGCAGGTCCCCCTTCACTAGTGGGTGGTCTCTGTCCGAGGTGGAGTCAGGCTCTGCTGTTTACAGCCATCCCAGGCAATTCTGCTGAAGGGAGCCCTGAACTGCCATTTGAGAGAATACTGCTGTGCCGTAGAAGAGCAAAGACCCCATCTGGGTGTTCAGTGCCTGAGCCCAGAGAACTGCTCAGGCCTCTGGAAGCTTTCCAGAGCGTGACTTTTAGCACCTCCTTAGATCTGTGGTAAAATCTAGACCCCAGGCCGGGCAGTGGTGGCACGTGTCTATAATCCCAGCACTTGGTAGGCAGAGGCAGGTGGATCTCTGAGTTCTGGGCCAGCTTGGTCTACAGACGGAGTTCCAGGACAGCCAGGGCTACATAGAGAAACCCTGTCTCGAAAAACCAAAAAGAAAAAACAAAACAAAACAAAACAAAACAAAAATCTGGACCCCAGGACAGAAGAGCAGGAGAGAGATTGGGATCAAGGCTCTCAATTGTTGATTAAAAGGTTTATTCTCCAGATCCCTGAACAGGTTCCCGCTTCTTCAACTTAGAGCTAATGGATAGAACAGCCTGTTTGTGCTGGATCTCCTGGTCCTCACCAGAGATTTTGGTCTGTGTGCTTCATTTCAGGGACCACAGAAGAGCTGTTTGAAGTGTCTGTGTGGCCACACCAGGCCCTGGTGGAGTTTGGACAGTCCCTGGCTATCAACTGCAGCACTACCTGCCCAGACCCTGGGCCCAGTGGAATCGAGACCTCCTTCAAGAAGAGCCAGCTGGGCAAAGGGCCTCAGTGGAAGGAGTTTCTCCTGGAGGATGTCACGGAGAACTCAGTCCTGCAGTGCTTCTTCTCCTGTGCAGGGGTCCAGAAGGACACAACGCTCCACATCACCATCTACCGTGAGTAGGACGGAGGGGCCCGGAAGAAGAAAGGAGTGGGGGAACAGGAATGCATCTTAGATAGGGAAGAATTAGGGTTTTACTTGGGGTGGGGAGAGTTACACACACCCACCCCCGTCCCCCAATCCCTAACCCCAAGTAAAGATTCAGTCACACTGTCAGGATTCCCTCCATCTGTAGAGGCTGTCTTCTGAGTTTTCACTGTTAGCCGTAGGGCACACTTGAGAATACACAGAATACAGCGAGCAGACACTAAGATGCCAGACAAGTGTCAATTAGTGCTGGTTTATTTGTTGCCAGCTCTTAGGCTAACCAGGGATTTCAGGAAGGACAGGTTTTTTGTTTGTTTCTTTGGTTGGTTGGTTTTGGTTTTGGTTTTTTGAGACAGGGTTTCTATGTGTAACTTTGGAGCCTGTCTTGGAACTCATTCTGTAGACCAGGCTGGCCTCAAACTCACAGAGATCCGCCTGCCTCTGCCTCTCGAGTGCTGGGATTAAAGACGTGCGGTTAAAAGCTAGGGTAGTTAAGAAGCCTGTGGTGCCAGTGGTTCCTGAGCTGCCCTGCAGAGCAGGAGGCCCTGAGGTGTTAGGACTGGTAACCAGGGTCCTACAGGGCGCCATCTTGCCTTGCAAAGATAAGAATGAGTGGAAGAGCCACCCCCCCCCCAAGCTTCTCATGCCTCTGAAACGTCGTTGATAAGAGATAAAATGTTCCAGAATGGCAGGAAAAATCGAAGCAAAGGACTTCCTCTTAGCTATCACAATTCTCAGCCATGGCCACCTTCAATGGACAGAGAGCTGGAAGGCTAACTTACTGCGTGGAGCTTTAAGGGTAGCGGTCACCTTCTGCAATGTCATTTCTCTCTAGAGGTGAGTGGTCCCTCACCAGGGCTTGTCTTTTTGTCTTAAAGAGCCACCAGAGCAGGTGATCCTGGACTTGCAGCCCGAGTGGGTGGCCATGGATGAAGCTTTCACAGTGAAGTGCCATGTGCCTAGCGTGGCACCCCTGCAGAACCTCACCCTTACCCTTCTTCAGGATGACCAAGAACTACACAGAAAGGATTTCATGAGTTTATCTGGGCCATCCCAAAGAGCTGAGGTCACCGTCAATGTCAGAGCCCAACGGGAGAGTGACAGGAGTAATTTCTCCTGCCATGCAGAACTGGATCTGAGCCCACAAGGTGGGGAGTTGTTTCATGGCAGCTCAGTCACCAAGGAACTCCGGATCTTTGGTGAGTCAGAGTCCAGGCATGAAGAAAACCTAGGGCCTGTTTTGGCCTTTGGGGACCCTGTTCCCACAGGTTTAGGAGAGTAACTGAGCCCCACCTCTAATTCCATGGTGTCCTATGTGACACATGACTTACAATTTTCCTTCTTCTTTCTTTCTTTTTCGCAATTACTTGGCAGAATTCTCTCAGAGTCCCCAGATCGGGGTGTCTTCACTTCTGGAGGTTGGGGTGGCAGAGACCATGAACTGTGAGGTGGCCAGGGTGTTTCCCGCCCAGGAAGCTGTCTTCAGAATGTTCTTTGAAGGCCAGGAGCTAAGCCCCTTCTCCTCCTGGAAGGGAGATGCAGCGTGGGCCAGCGCCACCGTTCGGGCCATGGAGACCGGTGACCAGGAGCTGACCTGCCTTGTGTCTCTGGGTCCCGTGGAGCAGAAAGTCAGGACACCAGTGCATGTCTACAGTACGTGGCCATCTCTCTCCCTGTACAGGGCCTCTGTTAAGGAGGGTTTTGCACAGTGATGTGCTGCTCGCTTCCATCTTTCTCTGACAGAGGTGGGTTAGGACCTGCATTGTGACAGTGGCTGTGTGGCCTCTGTCCTCGGTTTCCTGACCTATCCTGCTCATTGGGCAGTTGCAGATGCTTGAACTTCAATCTAGAATAAGCATTTGAGATGAGTAGGAAAGCTGTACGATGAGGAGACATCTTGCTGTCCTCACAGGAGAGACAGCCAAACGTGGGCATGCTTTATCATTGGGAGGGAAGCTCTCAATCCTCAAGCCATCTTGGTGCTCCCTCTCTGCAGCCTTTACAGAAGCTTTAACGCTATCCAAAGTCTCTCTTCTGTCACTGTCTACCCAAGGGAGACCTGCAGCCTCAGGAGGACAGGGCAGCCACCAGTTTTGAGAACGTGTCCACTGTTCTTTTTCATTCTTTGAAGGTTTCCCTCCACCAATCCTGGAGGTAGAAGATGCTTACCCTCTGGCAGGGACGGATGTTAATGTGACCTGCTCAGGTCATGCGTTAACATCACCTAGCCCTACTCTTTGGCTTCGGGGAGCCTCAAACCTCTCTGCTCCCGGGGAGCCTGCCTGGCTTCAGTTTACTGCCAGGGAGGAAGATGATGGCCGGAATCTCTCCTGTGAGGCGACTCTGGAGGTGCAGGGCCAGCGGTTGCTCAAAACGACCAAGATCCAGCTTCATGTCTTATGTGAGTAGAGGCCTGAGGGTCCTTGACAAGGCGAGGGTGCTTGGTTTTCCTGCTTGGCTAGTGGCTTCATTAGTAGAGGGGCCGCACTTTTCTAATTGGAAAAACCCCGAGAAGAAAATAAAATGGACGTGCCCAAGCTCATCTTCGACCTCGGGAAAGTGAGTGGGAACAATATGGGAATGTGGTGCTGTGTCAGATACAATTATCTGAGAGCCAGTGCCTAGGAGACAGCATAAAAGGCGACAGCTGAGGCCGATGCTAAGGAGAGAAGCCTCCAAAAACTCCATATCACAATTTGTGTTTTGGAAAATGAGGAAATCCTTATTTCTGAGTTCACTCCTTGCCCATTGAGAAGCCCTGGGCCCCACCAACGGAACTGTGTTACTTCTTAGCCTGGGTCCATAAAAATGTCCTAGGCTGGCCGGGTGGTGGTGGCACACGCCTTTAATCCCAGGACTGGGGAGGCAGAGGCAGGTGGATCTCTGTGAGTTCAAGGCCAGCCTGGTCTACAGAACTAGTTCCAGGACAGCTAGGGCTGTTACACAGAACCCCTGTCTCGAAAAACCAACCAACCAAAAAAAAAAACAAAAACAAAAACAAAAAAAAAAAAAAAAAAAAAAAAAGCCCTAGGCTGCATCTCATTGTCTTTGCACAGGGAAGGGAGAGCGAGCTTTATTCTAAGCAGAGAGCAACATTTGAGCTAAGTAGGGGAAGGGAGCTATGAACGGAAGTGAGAAAGGAGCAGGACGTAGAGCTAGGCTCCTTTGGGGGTTCTTTTGCAGACAAGCCTCGGTTAGAGGAATCCAGATGCCCCGGCAACCAGATATGGGTAGAAGGGATGGATCAAATGCTTGCCTGCATCCCAGAGGGAAACCCCGCCCCAGCTTTGGTGTGTATCTGGAATGGGATGATCATTGACCTTGATGTACCTCAGAAGGCCACCCAGAACCGCACTGGAACCTACTGCTGCACGGCCACTAACCAGCTCGGCTCTGTCAGCAAAGATATTGCTGTCATTGTCCAAGGTACCTGCCACACTAGCTGCTAGGCTTGGGGTAGAAAGTCCTTCCCCCGCCAACCCCCCACGCTGCTCCCTGCCACCTCCCCCCAGATTTGGGGTTCTCACAAGTGTAGAGGGAAGCAAAATGCTCCTGGGCTGGAGAAGATGTGTCTGAGAAGTGGGCTCGGTGTCTTGGGGTGGAATGATTGTCTTGTCCTCAGCCCTCCTCCCCCGGTTCTGTCTTCTGTGCCTACACAGGACTGCATGAAGGGATTGCCCCCTCCACCATCTTCATCATCATCATTTTCACCCTTGGCATGGCTGTGATCACCATAGCACTGTACCTGAACTACCAGCCCTGCAAAAGAAACAGGAGGAAACGGGCCTCTAGGCAGAGAGAGCTGAGCAGAGACGAGGCAAGCCAGTTTGCTGACATAAAGGCAGAAGAGTGTAACTCACATCACTGCTGACCAGAGACAACTCTGCTTGAGTGACTTCAGCTACCAGCCTTTAACAGGGAGGAAGGAGGAAGAGACAGATGTGAGGCTACATTCCCGTCCTGCACTGGCCCCTCACTGGCCCCTCACTGGCCCCTCACTGGCTTGTACCAGTCCATCGGGAGCTCGTCTTTCTCTTTTGAGTTTATTCTGCTTTCTAGAAATTTCAGTCTGATTGTTGACTGGCGATAGAGCCTCTCGCTCCTTACTGTGTTTAACTGCCCACTCTTGAGCACACAGAAGGCCCCGCCCTTGCCCCTCATTCCCACTGCTCACTCCTCAACCAGAAAATGAGAAAGATCATCAGAAATATCCTGGAATACACTGCTCAGGGTTTCCTGATGACTAACTGGGAACTTCTTTTGTAGTTCAGGAACAAGACTCCATGGGGGTAGGTAGCAAATAAATGGGCAGGAATCGGAGCCCTACTCCCCTGTCCACACCCCCTACTCCCCAGACAGTACCCAAGGACATCATAAAAGCTCTGGCTGATTCGGCTTCGCCCCAGGAATGCTCTGCAACTTCATATTGGGTCAGAGAAGTAGCTTAGCTACTTTATAACAAACAAACCTAGGACTTTCCATGCAGCACAAGATGGCCTCAGACTTGTGATCCCCCTGCCTCAGCCTCCTGAGTGCTGGGATTACAAGTGTATGCCATCACCCCCTAACTTTTTTTGGGGGGGTGCTTTAAAGTAAAAGTAGAATACTTCCATGAAATTGGTCTAATAGGTCAAGGGCGTCGCACTCTGAATTCCTTTTTGTAAAAGACTGAGTCCCACATGTACCCTCCGTCTCCACAAAGAATCGCCTGTTTTCATCTTCTGCAAGTAAATTCCCCGGGAAGGAGGTACATAACTCCATAGCACAGTGTGTGCCTAACATGCAGATGGGTCTCAGCTCTGTCACCCCTCCCCCAGTCCACTGTGACAGTGTTAACCATGTACTTTAACAGTCCAGCTTCCTCCACTGCCCTTTGGAAGGAGTATGTCCACCGTGGTGAAGGCCTGAGCATCAAGCCAGGCCTCTCCTCCAGAGCTGTCGTGAACTGTTTGCTGAGATGTTAGCTGTGATAAAAATAAAATAGATTTTGTGATATCTGGATTTATTCTTCCTTTGTGTCATAACTGAAAGTTTTATGTTAGGCCAAATGATTGCGTTTCAGAACTTTGAGGCTAGCTTCCACTTGGTAACTCTAGGGCAAGCCATGTCTTAGCTCCAGTCATCAGCCTGTTTTTCCTGCTTTCAAAACTGAAGCACGCACTGGTACCCAGTTTCCACCATGGGAATACTAGCTCGAAATGATGCAGCATCAGACACCAAAGCGTGTCTCCCCTTCTTCCTGGACAACCCTGAATTTAAGGTTGGAGATTTGCTATAAAAATAACCCTTTGGTGGTTTTTTTTTTTTTTTTGGTTTTTTGAAAAAATCACCCTTTGTTTCACCATCCAAAGCGACAGGCACAGTGGTAAACAGCGCTATCCATGCCTTCTACAAATTTGTAATGTGTGAGGGATATACTCCCTTTCCATCACCGTAACTAGTAGGTATGTCAACCTACAAGAAAGAATGACGTTTTTTGACTTGTGGTCACATGACCACAGGCCTGTTTCGGGGCAGTACGTCATGGTGGAAGCAGGAAGAGCAAAAAGAAACAATGAAGGGCCAGGGTTCTCAGATGCCCTCAGGACTTCTTACAGGCACCATCTTGTTTCATTGCCTCCCAATAGCCCGTGGTCTGGGGGTCCTTAAGACACGGGCCTTTGGGGGACCAATATCCGAACTGAAGGCACATTAATTTCTATAACCAGAAAGGTGTGGTTTGTTCAGAGAAAGTCTAACTCAGGACCAAGGAGGTATTCCCCCAAAGGCCTTCTCAATGCTAATACCTCTTACCCCCTACAATGTGAGTCTCATACGAATTTACCTTCTCAAGGTGAGCAAGGGGAAGTACATTAGGAAGCAGGTCAAAGACAGATACAAGGTCCTAGTCCAGGTACCTCAGCCGTTTTCATGTCTTGGATCAGCTGCGTCATCAGCATCAGTCACATCTGCAAATGTCACCCAGGAACCCTAAGGCACATGAACCAGAAAGGGGCGATGTCATTGGCTTCCTAATTCCAGCAAGCGGAGATAGAGGTTTAGCCTGCTGTGACTTCTCACTGCCACATGGTGCCACTGTCAGCAGATGGCCCTGTGCGTCAGCTTCCATGCGTCTCAAAAGATCCTGGTGACTCCTGCCTAGCTTTCATGGTTAGTTCTCATAGGTTAGCGCCTGTCTCTCTTTCATAGTTAAGCCTTCTGTCTTTGATTCTGAGACAGGGTCTCTCTATGTAACCCTGGCTGGCCTGGAACTTGTTATGTAGACCACCCTGGCCTTGAATACACAAAGACCTACCTGTCTCTGCCTCCTGGGTGCTGGCATTAAAGGTGACAGCATTATGCCATCACATCTGATGCATAAGCTATACTCTGAAAACCCAAAAAGACAGTTGTTAACAATATTGACACTATTCCATCAAGACAAAGGACAGAAGAAAATTCTGCTAGAACTCCAATCCTTGGTAAAATCTCAGACTTGGGACCAGAGGATCCCTGGAAAGGCTAAATATGTCCGGTATCCCAATTAACTTAACTGTTAACTTGACACAGCTTAAAGTCACCTGAGAAGAGAGTCACAATTGAGGGTTTTCCCCAGCTAGGTTGGGCTGTGGATGTGTCTTGGTTGGTGGGTGGGTGGGTGGGTATTGTTTGATTATTAATGTAGAAAGGCCCATCCACCGTGGGTGGCACCATTCCCTGGGCAGGTGATCCTAGGCCTTGTGAAAAAAAAAAAAACAAAAAAAACTAGCCTAGCCAGCTCAAGAGCAAACCAGCAAGCAGCGTTCCACCATGGTTTCTCTGCTTGAGCTCCTGCCCTGACGTCCCTCGGGAACAGACTGAAACCTGTATGCTGACAGAATCCCTTTCCTCCCCCAAGTCACCTTTGTCAGAGTTTTATCACAGCAACAGAAGGAAGCCAGAACACCCAGCAGCTGAAAGCTGTCCCCTGACTCTTTGGCTAAGGTAGTATTAGATCCTGCCTTGTCCTGAGCTATCTCTTAGTCACATGAGGAGGGGGTATGTGGGGAGGGTGTTTCTACATGCTTATCAATGAAATCTGTACCACTTCTATTAACCCTGCAGGACAACTAAGGAAGATGTGGACAGATTATGACCAGGCTAAATGGCTTCATGCTTTAGGACGTGAGAATTCATTCACCTGCCAGTACAATTTGAAAGGCTGTTAATTATTTTCCTTAACCTAGTACTTACCATGTTTTAAAAATATGTGGTGTTTTTTTTTTTTTTTTTTTTTGAGGAAGAGTTTTCCTATGTAGCCCAGGCTGGCTTCAAACTCACTATCCTACATCCTAGAATGATGGCCCAACAAGGTTTCCAGCCATTTCAATTCAGAGTCACCTCTAGTGCCTCTGGTCCTACAGGTCAAAAAGCCAGAGATCTCAATTCCCACCACAGTCAGCTGCTCCAACCTCAGCAGCAGGAAGTCCCAGATGCTGGACCTCTGCCCTTTCACAACCCTCATGATTAAGGGACGTGTTATGCTTTGGATGCTAAATTTCCCCTACAGGCCCACATGTTTGAATGCTTGATCCTCAAGCGGTGACACTGTTTTGGGGGGTCTAGCTGGCAGAAAGGTTGCCAGGGACAGGCCTTGAAGATATACCTCCCTGGGTCCAGTCTACCATCTCTGCCTCCCACTCCATCAAGATGTGAGAAACTGGCTGGAGGGATGGCTTGGCAGTTAAGAGCACTGGCTGCTCTTCTAGAGGACCAAGGTTCAATTCCAGCACCCACAAGGCAGCTCACAACTGTCTGTAACTCCAGTTCTGGGGGATCTGATATCCTCACGGAGGCAGGGGAGACACCAATGCACACAAAGTAAAAATAAATCTTTAAAAAAAAAAGTGAGAGCCAGGTGGTGGCGGCGGTGGCGGCGGCGGCGGCAGCGGCGGCGCACGCACGCCTTTAATCCTAGCACTTGGGAGGCAGAGTGGATCTCTGTGAGTTCAAGGCCAGCTGGTCTACAGTGTGAGTTCTAGGACAGCCAGGGATACACAGAGAAACCTTGCCTTTCACACCTTGTAACTGTGACCCAGACTAAACACCTTCTCTGTTAAGTCGCTGCTGTTAGGTATTTTGTCACAAGGACCTGAAAAGCTCCTGATGGAGGGTGGAAATCTGTGACAGGGCAATGAGGTAGGCTCCAGATAACCTAGGGAAAGAGGCAGTTGCCTGGCAGCCAAAAACTGATGCAACAGCAGAGTTGCCCTAAAGCAGAGCATTATGTGTCTATACTGAGGAAAACAAGACCTTGCCAAAATTGGCTGGAAGCAACTTGACTGACCAAAATGTTTGCAACAGAACCTCCAAGCAAGGGGGGGGGGGGGGGGGCGGGGATCACAAATGGAGTACTTGAAATATGCTTGTTGGATCCTTCCTGGTGTGAGCCTTGTCTATCTTACGCCTCCACCCCCACAGGAAGACTTTTCACTAGAAAAACACTGCTTAAATTTTTTTTTTAACCATGTGTGGTACTGCGTGACAGGGTTTCTCTGTGTAGCCCTAGGTGTCCTGGAACTCCCTCTGTAGACCGGGCTGGCCTCGAACTGAGATCTACCTGCCTCTGCCTCCTGAGTACTGAGATTAAAGACGTTTGCCACCATGCCTGGATGGTACTTCATGTCTTTAAGTGCTTGAAAGGATGAGGCAAGAGGATCACAGGCTCAAGGCCAGCCTGGGCTATCTAGCATGACCTTATTTAGAAAACAATGTTTGTTGTGCTAGGCATGGTTTCACCTGCCTGTGATCCCAGAACTCGGAAGGCTGAATGGAGCACCAAGATTTTGAGATCAGCCTGCGCTGCTTAGCAAGACTGTCTCCCCCTGAAAAAAAAAAATGCAACGAGAAATACACAAAACAAAACTTAATTCTTCAGCTGGGTGTACTAGGGCACGCCTTTAATCCCAGCACTCAGGAGGCAGAGGCAGGCAGATCTCTGTGAGTTCAAGGCCAGCCTGGTCTACAGAGTCAGTTCCAGGACAGCCAGGGCTACACAGAGAAACCTTGTCTTAAAAAAAGACAAAACAGGCCGGGCGGTGGTGGCGCACGCCTTTAATCCCAGCACTCGGGAGGCAGAGCCAGGCGGATCTCTGTGAGTTCGAGGCCAGCCTGGGCTACCAAGTGAGTTCCAGGAAAAGGCACAAAGCTACACAGAGAAACCCTGTCTCGAAAAACCAAAAAAAAAAAAAAAAAAAAAAAAACCACCAACAAAAAACTAAAAAAGCCCCAATGACTTCCATTTTCACTGTTTAAGTGTGTTGAGCACGTCCACACAGCAAGCGTCAGCACTGAAGCCGGTCCAGGGAATTTCTGATTTAATGACAGTAGAAATGAATGAGCCGAAGGGTATGGGCATGCAGCACAGTTTTAATGGAGGCTTTTACTCAAGGACAGAGGCAGCACTTCTCAGCCTGTCTCAAAGCAAAGGGGACAGCTTTTTATCAGGTTGCCGGTGTGGGCTGAGGCCTGATCATTTTCATTTTCTACTGGTCATGAGTCCAGTATTTTTAAGATTTTTATTTCTTGTATAAGGGATGGGCCAGCAGTCCTGTGACTTTGATACTATCTTGGTTGTTATTGTTTAAGATTTGCTTTTGTACACAGAGAAACCCTGTCTCGGGAAAAAAAAAAAAAGATTTGCTTTTGTTAAAATTGTGTGTGTGTGTGTGTGTGTGTGTGTGTGTGTGTGTGTGTGTGTGTGTGTGTGTGTTGTGTATCTACCATATATGTTCAGGTAAACATAGAGGCCAGAAGAGGGTGTTAGATCGCCTGTAGCTGGAGTTATAGGTTATGGTGAGCTACCCAACATGGGTGTTGAGAATGGAACTCAGGTCCTCTGGAAGAACAAGTGCTCTAACCGCTGAGCCTTCCCTCCAGCCCTCATCCTGTTTTGTTTTGTTTTTTTCCCCAAGACAGGGTTTCTCTGTAGCCCTGGCTGTCCTGAAACTCGCTCTGCAGACCAGACTGGCCTCGACTCTGCCTCCTGAGTGCTGGGACTAAAGGCATGTGCCACCACACCTGGCCTCATCCTGGTTTTTATGGTACACCCAGCCCGGCTGTTCCCAGGGATCAGAATAGGAGGATCAGAGGAGACATATCCACATGCTATTGAGGAATAGGGGAGTAGGAGAAAGATACACACACTACTCTTAGTGGTAACAGCTTATGGATTAAAAGCCCAGGTGCTCATCTTCCTCTGTCCCCATGCGGTCCTTGACTAACTTGTCATCTCCAAACGCTTTGCACGTTTCACACTTGTCATTCTGCGTCCATTGACTGACACACCCCTGCTTCGATCAGAATAGTTTAACGGAATGAGTTGTCTTGGGTTTTTCAGCTCAGAGAAGCCAAGGTACAATGTTGCCCCATTGTTCTGAATCTGAATCCAGCTGCCACCCGAGTTTGACACCAGCAAGATCAAGGTCATCTGCCTGAGGGGCATTGGTAGCATGGTTAGCAAAAAAAAAAGCTTGGCAATGGCAGACTAACTGTGCCTGGAGGGTCTGAGGATCACTGTAGATGTAATTCTGAATGGTCTTGTTAAATAAGAAACATAGAGCCAAATGCAGAGTTAAAAGTCCAGAGACTGAGCAGCAGCCAAGAGCTAAAACCACCTTCTTACCCCTCGCTGTCGTCCTTCCCCTGAGAAAAAGACCTACTTCCTGTGTGTCTGTATTTTTATTGACTTTCTGCTCTGCCTTCTCACTGGTTCTAAACCCAACCACATGGCTTCTTCATTACTGCCTGTCTATACAGACCTCCAGGTCTCTATGGTTGGTATTGGATTAAAGGGGCGTGTCACCAAGCTGGCTATGTCCTTGAACACACAGACTCTGCCTGCCATGTGATCGGATTAAGGGCATGTACTAGCACTGCCAGACTTCTGCTCAATGGCTTGCTATTAGCTCTGACCCCCAGGCAACTTTATTTATTAACATACAAATAAAATCACATTTCAGCACAAATAAAATATCACCATAGATCACAGAGGACTCGCCTTCCGAAATAGAAAGGCCCCGCTTTGGTCACTTCAAATGTTGTCCGTCTGTTATTCACTTCCAATATTTCAGAATTACATTTCACATACATGTCTGGATGTCCCCACCTCAGAGGGTTTTAGAGACCTATTTCTCCATGGTAAATGGTGACAAGGTCAGAGGAGCCCACATTGAACTACACCCTCCGTTCTTCATGATACACAGGTCCCGACCTTCCATCATGTAGCCCTCTCTCACAAGGAAGCCAAGTGTCAACTGTGGTTTATCCTCACCCAGGGAGCTTTCATCACTTCTGTGTTTCTCTATCTGATGCCTATTTGTGTGTGTGTGTGTGTGTGTGTGTGTGTGTGTGTGTGTGTGTGTGTGTTCCTGTGAGTGCAGTACACATACATGTGCGTGCTTATGCATACACGAGGACAGCTTCAGGTGCCATCCTTGGGAACTATATACCTTGCTTTCTGAGACAGGGTCTCTCGCTGGACTGGAATTCACAAAGCGAGCAGGGAGCGAGCTGCCTGTTTCTGCCTCCCTGTACCGGAGTTGCCATCACACTCAGGGGTTGTTGTTGTTGTTGTTGTTGTTGTTGTTGTTGTTTTGTAATGTAGATTTTGGAAATTGAACTCAGGTCCTCATGCTTGCAAGCCAAGCACCAACTGAGCCATCCCTCGGGCCCTACCTGGTACCCACTGAAATGGCTGTGGAGATCTCCTTCTTAGAATCCATCTCCTACCCACTTCCCCTGCTTCAGAATTCAGACCCACTGGTTCCGGTTGCTCCAAACCCATTTGTTTTGTTTTTGTTTAAGACAAAGCCTTGCTATATAGACTGAGCTAACCTATATCTCACTATGTAGACTAGGCTAGCTTCAAACTCACAGCAATCTTCCAGCCTCAGCCTCTTAAATGCTGGGATTACAGTTAGTTGTGCGCCACCATGCCCAGCTTCCAAACTAAATGAAAACCCGTCTTAAAATTTTTGCACAACAGTAATTCCATGATTGTCCTCATGTTTTCTCTCTTGAAGATGTTTTCCTTTTGCTCCTCTGTCTCATTTTCATTTCTTCCAAATCTTGGGGGCAGGGGGCTGATTGGTCTTCCTGATTCTGGTTGGAGGAGAAAGGAGTACCTCTGAGTACGTTATGGGGGTGACCTATGACCCTGTTGGCTTGTGTCTATCCAGAGAGCTGGGATTTAGATTGTGGAGTGGGAGCAGACTCATCATGTAATAGAGAAAGTGATGTGTTGACTCTATTTGGTCCAGAGAAAGTCAGGGCTACTCGTCCAGCAGCTCACGGGATTCTTACAGGTTGACTTCTAGGACTCTTTGAAACCATCCTTCCATCCCATAATAGAAATACATCTAGCCAAGCAATATGATGCATCTTGATTTTATTAGGACAAAGCATAGGGACGGGCAGTTGCCAGGGTAAAGGGAGGCGCTGGGGGAGGACAGCGGAGACGGATGCTGTAGTGTGAGGCTAGAAGGCACAGCTGCTTTCCACAAAACGGCGGCACTTCATGACCCGCAGGTAGGTCTCAGCCTTGTGCAGGTCCTTCTTAAAGCAGGAGAGCAACCCGTAGTTTTTGAGCAGAGCATCATCGCTGCGCATGTTGGTATCAAACTTATCATAGGTTTGCTTGAGGATCTGCCCAGCACGGGGGCTGCCATCTTCCAGCTCCTGCAGTGGGAAGGGAGGGTAAGGGAGGCAGAGGAGTCTCCGGAGCTGTGCCCTCCCCCACTCCAGGACCTAGAGAAAGGATGCCTTCTCAAGGGTCAAGGCCTGACTGGTAAACAGAGAACGGTGGTGAGCCCCCAGCTGGGCTCCAGGCAGAGGCAAAGGACAGTGTGGCCCACCCGAGTGCCATCCTCACCTGCATCAGAGCCTGGATGCCCTCTTCCAGGTCCTTCAGTTTCTCATAGACACGGTCCGAGGTTCCGAACATCAGGCTGTTGGTGAAGATCCTACTGAGGAACTGTGCGGGCCCCAGCCACGACTGGATGAGCAGCAGTGAGAAGCGAAGCAATTCCATGTCCTGAGAAGAAAGGGCTGGGTGGAGTGTACTGCCTTGTGACCTCTGCCTGGGACTCCAAGCTTGCCCCAGCTTCAGGGAGAAGGGGGTCTCTGGCCTGTAGTGCGGTTAGGGAAGGACAGGATTTGTGCAGACAAAGCCTGAGCGGCCACACTCACAGTTCTCTGTTGGGCCTCCTCCTTGCCTGTGGGGGCTGGGATGGTCTCTGAGAAGCAGAAAGCAGCCTGGGTATTCTGGATGGAATAGCGTTGTCCCTCGGGGATGTAGGCGCGCTCCTGGAGGAAGAGCGGTCAATGAGGCTGAGCCTGCAGCTCCCTGTCACCACTACCTGATGGAGGACCCACTCCATTTCTGTTCATCTTGACAGCATTGGCTTGGGATCCCCGACCCCCCAGTTTCCTCCTATGACTTCCTGTTGTCTGGGGGCAGGGGTCTGCCCCTTCCTGCTTCCACAGTTGGGCAAGCACCCGTCTCTAGAGAACTTACAAACTCTTTGTAGGTGTCAGCAGCCAGCTGGTGCAGATGCTGGGCTCGGAGCACAGCGTTGGCAAACAGACTGGACAAGGGCACAGCAGGGAAAGCACCAGCCTCCTGAGGCCAGAGGAGGCAGAGCAGGGTGAAGGGCAGGAGCCAGGAGGTCCGAGAGTCTAGAGAGAGACAGGAGGGCAGGAAAAGACTGAGAGCAGTGGCCAGTCTCTCCCAGTCCCCATAGGGACCCATAGTGTTCCCAACATGGGCAGAAGTTGGGCTGCACTCATGTTAGAAGTCTCCCGTCCATCTTCAGGGCCCCTTGGCCCATGTCACACCCAGCAGGATTTGAGAACGCTTACCTGAAGCCATTGCCAAGCAGTGATCTGTCCACAGGACCCTGAGCACTTTGGGATATGGTCTCTAGAATCCTGGCCTTGGTCCCTTGCACGGCCCTTTTTATACCCTACCTGTTTTCCCCAACCCCAAGGCCCCTGCCTTCTCCCTATACATTTATTCATGGGCTGGGGCCACTGACAGCTTGTGCTGATGGATAATTTAGGGGCTCCTCCCACTCACCATGTTCCCACTCCTCTCCTGCGGTCATGTCCCTGATCTTATCTCTCTGTCGCCACCTTTGCCAGGCTTGTGAGCATTGGTTATGCAAGATCTCAGCTACAGAGACCACCCAATGTGTCCGTTGGAGAGTATCCCGAGTCCAGGGTACTCCGGCGGGATGCTGTTGTTGGTTCACTGGGATGAGGGGCAAAAGAGCCCCTCCAAGGAGGCATTGTCCCACTAATGTTTCTTTGTAAATTGTGTTTATTTACGTGTGTGTGTGTGTGTGTGTGTGTGTGTGTGTGTGTGTGTGCATGCGCACACATGCACGTGTGTGCATGTAGGGGTCAGAAGATAACTTAGGAATTGATTCTATCATGTGGGTCCCAGGGATTGAACTCAGGTACTTAGGCTTGGCTGCAGGTGCCTTTACCTCCTGGATCATTTTTCTGTCCTTATTCTGTCTTTTTCTTCTTGAATGTGTGATTCCCTAAGTCCACAACACAAAATACATGTGCTGGATTTATAGAGATGGCTTATACGCTAAGAGAGCTGACTGTTCTCCAGCGGACCTGAGTCTGGTTCCCAGCACCCATGTCAAGTGGCTCACAACCACATGTAACTCCAGCTCTAGGGGATCTGATGCCCTCTTCTGGCCTCCATGAGCACTCACACACACACACACATACACACACACATGCACGACATAGATTCATACACATACACACCAAAATAATAATAATAATAATAATAATAATAATAATAATAACCTTAAAGAAAGAAAGAAACGTGGCAGTGCATGCCTTTAATCCCAGCACTTGGGAGACAGAGGCGGGCAGATCTCTGTGAATTTGAGGCCAGCTTGGTCTACAGAGTGAGTTCTAGGACAGCCAAGGCTATACAGAGAAACCCTGTCTCTAAACAAACAAACAAACAAGCAAACAAACAAACAAGCAAATAAATGAATGAATGAATGGATGGATGAATGAATAAAAGTAAAGAGAGACAGAGATAGAGAAAGAATACGCGTGTTGGGAAAGGGGGGACCTCTTCCCCTATGGACAATGTAGGTTGGTGGAGGGCAGCTGGGTGTAGTGCTAACATTGACCGCTAGAGGGTGCCGTCCACGCATATTGCCCTCCCACAAACTCCAAGGTGCCCCTTAGGTCTGTGGGGCAAAGCTCCAAACTTGAGGTATTGCCTCTGCTCCTTGGACCTGCCATGGAGCTGTAAAACAAGAAGCAAAACTCGTGTAAACAGATTTGGATTTCAAGTTCTTCCCTGAAGCTATAAGGACGCCTCGGGCGCCTTTAAGTTCAGGAAGCCATTCTGGGTTTTGAGTGGCAGCTCTGGGAGTCTGGGTCTGCACTCTGAAAGAAGCCCTTTCCCTGTAGCCCCCAGCTGCTTAGCATCTGTCAAGAGTGTATCAGGAGGCAAAGGACGTTCTCACATTTGGTCTTGGGAGTGTGGTGTAGCCACCAAACCCATTTCTTCACTTCAGAAGCAGAGACTGAGGTTCTGAAAGGGACGATTCAAGAGCTGGTTCTGCCGAGGCAGCAGCTCCCTCACCTTGCAGTTCCCGTGTTCCATGGCCCAAGCGCCTTTCCCCCTAGCACCTGTGTGGGACCAGCCAGTTATTTTAGCTTCTGAACCCTTCTGAGTGCTCGGTCTCACCCCTAAATGCAAGAGTGCCTCGGCTTCATTTTGTTTTCCTTGCCCATTCCCAGGTGAAAATGTGCCGGAAGTGTGGGGTACAAATGGGAAGGCAGCAGGACGAAGCCAGGCCAAAGAAGGCTGGGCTGTGACAGCATGTGGACCTCACCAGCATCGATTCCCCAGCACTCCCTGCGTCTAAATCTTTGGATCTCAGGATGTGTAATGCCTGATCCAGTATGAAAACATACAAGCAAGCATCTCTCTCCAGAAGTAGCTGGTCATGATATCAGCAACCACCATTGAAAAACCTGTCTACAATGTGAATACTGGGGCCTCTACACCTCACCCCATTGAGGACCGGAAGATACAGCCTCTTAACATCACCCAAGCATTTCCCAACAACTGCCTCTGATTCATCGTTCTGAAGAGGCTGCTTAGAACCTTAGGGGCTGTTCCAGGCAGGTCTGAGGAAGGCTGCAGGGATTACCGAAGATACAAGCTCTAAGAAAGATGGTACCAGAGAGAAAGTAAGAACACAATTTTCTCTCCTCCTTCCAACTCTCCCAAAGAGGAGGAGCTAGATGAGTAGTGGAGAATGGTCCTCAAGCCTCCTGCCTCCACTGCCATCCTCCCTTGCATGCCCTGGAAGAGGGGGTAATTGACATCTTCTCTTGTCATCTCAGAGCTGAAGTGACCCCAGAATGGGGACTTTGGGGACTCCTGGGGATACAGCTTTATAGAACGTTAGTATTACAAGCTCTAGGCCCAGGAAGATGAGCTGAAGATGAATGTGAGGTCATAGGAGTCGGTGATCTTTTCTCTAATCTGGACCATTTTAGGACCTCTGGTGACAGAGACCAAAACCAGAATTCGCTGCTACTGAAAGCTAAGCTCTCACTTAACTTAGGGTTTGTCCGACTCTTCTGGAAAGTTGCCCAGCCTCAGTGTACCACTGAGACCTCAGAATCCTTTGGGGTCAGAGGCTGCCAAACAATGGCCTCTGCAGGGCTCATGGGGAGACGATGTAACCAGCATCTCTGATTCTAGCCTCCAGAAGTTCAGGATGACATCTCTAAGAAATACCCATTTTAATCTCTATGAGTTCAAGGCCAGCCTGGTCTACAGTGTGAGTTCCAGGACAGTCAGGGCTACACAGAAAAATCCTGTCTCAAAACAAACAAACAACCAAACCAAACAAACAAAAGAAATACCCATTTTAGAGCCAGAGAGATGACTTGGTCACTAAAGAGCTTGCTTCACAAGCATGAGGACTGAGCCTGGATCCCTAGCACCCAGCCTTTATAAGGCAGGGCATGTTGACACGCACCTGTAATCCCAGTGCGGGCGGCACAGAGATGGTGGGATCCCGGGGGTTGCTCTAGCTGGATCTCCGAGTTTCAGGTTCAGGGAAGGTTCCTTTCACTAAAAACCAGGTGAAGGGGCTGGAGGGCTGGCTCGGCACTTCAGAGCACAGACTGACTGCTCTTACGGAGAACACAGGTTTGGTTCCTAGCACCCACATAGGTCAGCTCACAACTTCCCGTAACTATAGTTCCAGGAGACCCAATACCCTCCTCTCACCTGAATTCATGTACACACACACACACACACACACACACACACACACACACACACACAAGAACACATAATTTCAAAATAAAACAGTAAAAGTAACACAGGGCAGACAGTGCTTGAGAAACCCTCTGTAGCCTGTTGACTTCTGGCTTCTGCACACAGTCACACGCAGGTGCACACACTCATACACACACGTACAAACCGATACAGACATACACAAAGAGCGTCCCTTGGAGTCCATGGATGTCTTTGTCTGGAAGTCCTTTGTGTTGCTAGACTTGACTATCTCTGGGCTTCTCTGTATGTACCACAGAAAGTCACAGATCTTCTCTTGATCCTAAAGTGGCCTCTTCTGTGCTCTGAGGTTCAAGTCTATGGGTGGGGGCAGTCTAACTCATCCTGGTTGTAGGGATGACCTCAGCAGGATTAGGGGTCCCTCTGCACACTCCACACTGGCAATTTGAAGTCCACCCTTCCACTTCTGGCTCTGTCCTCTTCTGGAGGTCAGAGTTGGTTATTGCATTCAATGTGTTTTTCTCCTCTTCAGTATTCTTTACATCAGGTTTAAACATATACATGACATAAATATATATACATATATTACATATGAATGCATATATATTCTTCTTCAGGCTACCCTGGAACTCACTGTGTAGCCCAGGCTGGCCTCAAACTCATGACCCTCCTGTCTCAGCCTCCTGAGTGCTGGGCTTCCAAGTGTACAACCTCCCCTGATCCAGCTAGTACACGGTCTTAGCAATATTGATCACTAACTTTATTGAGTCACAGGATTTAGACTTTAAAGTTGAAAGAATATTATTTGGGGACCTCCAAGGGCCTTTCCAGGCGAGGTGTGTTTCTGAAGACCCACTATGTGCCAGGAACTGTACTGGACAATAGGGCACGTGCATCTCATTTGAGAGCTAAGGAGGCTGAGGTTTAGAGACAGACTGCCTGGGTCTTGCAGTTTCTAAGGGATGACTCTATAGTCCTCCCCCCCCTCCCCAAGGCACTGCCTGGCATTCACAGGACCTTCCTCACTGCACAGCAAGCCCTCACACAGATGTTCAGTGAAGGTGGGAGGAATTGAATGCAAAGGGATTGAATGGGGCATCCACAGACCTAAGAAAAGCCGTGTAGCAAAACAACAACCCGATGTGGCCTGATTTAGTGAACCAAATCAGATCATCCTTCATATTTGTATCGCACGTTTCAGTGTGCTTCATGGTTTCACTTCCTGTATCTCCTTGGACCCTGGAGTTCTCCCCACGATGCAGCAGAAGGCTCTGGGTAGAGAGAGGGTTTTAGAGGGCTGGGGGATGGCTGAGCAGGCACCCCTGTGTATCAGTGGTGTATTATTGATGCTGGGGGATAATCCATGAACAATTGTAATTGGATATGTTAAGTAAAAGTAAAACTTACTGAAAAAGACTGGGCTAGAGAGACACCTCAGTCAGTAAAGG